TGCAGGCGGTCGGTTAGTTAGCGTTGTACGGCCAAAGAAACATTCACTTCATCCTGGTGATCTACAACTGATTTTTAACATGGTCTTTGAAGCAGAGGCTGTTAAGGCTGGAGGTGGCGAGAGTTGGATTCCTGTCTGTTTACCCGGCTTCAATAGCAGTGGATATCTCTACATGTATGTCAGTTTCGTTGATCTAAGAGAAGATGCTGGCAACGTTGCGGATGACACGGCGACGAAGGAAGAATCTGTTGCGGTCATCTTAATCAGTACAGATAAAGAACGGTTTTTCGAGTTACAAGAGATGCGGAACTCGTTTATTGAGGTAAGAGAATATTATCAGTTTTCATCATGTGACACATAATTCTGACCATCACTACTCTTAGCAACTGGAGAAGGACGGCAGCCTCAAAATCATGAAAGAAGCCATTGACAAGGGCCGACCAAAGACGACCGACATTGTGCCAGGAACAGTCTTGCATCATTTCTTGTACAAGTCGCGAGGAAACGTGCAGTTCACTATGTCCTGCTATGAACCCGATTTCTCATCTGTCTCTCGACGTCGGAGGTCTGTTTGGCACAGTTAGCTCCCTAACGGGGGTTCCTAATGGTACCAATTATAGATGACTGACGTTGATCTCACAGACTAATGTCGACTTACAATAACCTGCATGCTAGCATCCATGCCAAGCACGCTCACGTTCGAGTCCACCATTGTGTCTCACAATCCTCAACCTCACTCGCATGGGTGACTCCGGTTTTCCAACTCTACTGTGTCGCTGGTCCAAATGCCAATCGGAATGCCCTCGCTCACAGTGCGAGCAAAATTGTCCAGTGGGTTCAACAAGAGGAGGAGAGACTGTTCATTATCGGCGGTGCGGTATGTTATCTCGCGGTAGTTATCATTCTTGGTTTGATGTGACTGACTGATGCAAATAGGTCTTCTGAGATTCATCTTGCTCAATATTTTGTGATATATGACGTCTATATCTCAAGGTGCCACAAACTATCCTGGATATACTGAACCAAGGTTTTGGATTATAACTATAGACGCGCCGTTATCACAGCCCAAAACCTATATTCTAGAAATAGCCTATACGACATGACAGTGAACGAATACCACCCACTAATCAATTGTGTCGTCCCTCAAGGCAAAAAGCTGCTGCATAACCTCGTCCGACTTAGCTCGGAGAGCATTATGATACATGGTGTTCGTAATGAACTGTTTGATGCCCTTGATCTTCGCAGCAGTATTTGAGGCATGACTGAAGTGCACGTACATGTCATCTATGTACGTAGCAGCGTAAACAGGAACTTCATTCTTCGCCAGCTGGGCCTCGTCATAGAGCGGAGGCCAGTCCTTTGTAGTTGCGAGGATGTCTGCCGTTTCTTTGATCTCGTTGAGCTCGTCGTACGAATCAAACATGTCCTTGTAAATCTACATCGTGCCTATTAGTCAAAGTGGCATCATCTATAGCTCCCGAAAGAGTCTCACCATTTCGCCTGTAAACCAGATCTCTGGTCGATTGGCGTCAATGCTGAAGTTCGAATTGGCTGAACGAAGTCTATCGGCAGACCAATTTGATGCTTGCCTGTTTATCATTAGTAAGGTAAGGTCATCAACACTCCAAGGGCTTAAGGAATTCTCACCCTTGGCAATAGATAGCTTCGTGAAGAATGGCATAGATAACAGCACTGTCAAAGCCACCTGCAGCATCGAGTGAAGTGCGTGTAGGATGAGTCAGGAAGCCAAAGATCTCGAGATCATTCCAGGCGCGCAGGACAAGTTCTAACAAGTGTTAGCCCAAAAAGCTTCACTTACTCTAAAGCGTGACCAAATATTACCGTGGATACTATCAAGGCCACCTATAGACGTCAGTATCGCAGCCATGGAGTTCCCAATTAGATTCCCTACCGTGCATGCCAAATATAAGACCCAATTGTTGGAATCTCGCCGGCGTCAATTTCCCGGACGGAACAGAAACATCGTTTTCCTTGAGATACTGTATGATTCTTTTGACTCGCTCAACATCCTCAGGAAACTTGGAGTAGTAGGCCTTGTTTCTCTCCTCCAGTTTTTCTTCATTTCATTGGGTTAGCTGAGGTAGTTAGGAAATGAAGATTTTAAGGATGCATACCGTATGTCCGTGCATAGACTGAGTCAGGGTCATTGACAAGAGGAGGCAATCCGCCACAAATGAACGCTTCCGCTAGTCCCTCTGGGCTTTGGTGTGTCAAGACTCATCAGTACTAGAACTAAACCACTCACAATTTAGTTTAGCGGCTCAACTCACAACATAGAAAGATATGTCACAGCGCAGAAACCACCGAAACTCTGGCCGATAATGCTCCATTTACGTTTATCTTCAGGATAATCTACGGTAAGGCATCGCCGAACAGCTTCACAGTCTTTGACGATGTTATCGGCTCGGAAATTCTTCAGGTACTCCGCCTGCTTGATTGCATTGCCTTTCAAGGCAAGGGTACTTGCAGTGATCGTGGAGCTGAGGCCAGTGCCACGTTGGTCTAGGAACAGAACCTATGCGCTATGAGCATATGGGCATTTATGCGGTGAGGGAAGAAATTTGGTTTTGAGATTAGTATCACCCACCTGGTATCCCTTGTCAAGGGCGGTGCCAATCCAGCCATTTTCCAGAGGTGGTCGACATCCATAACCGGGTCCACCCTGCAGGTATACAAGCCAAGGCAACTGCTTGTCCTCCTTTGGAGTCTCAAATGAAGTCGTCAAGCGTCGAACACTACGGGCAAAAAGCCTCAAAGTGCCGTCATCTGGCCGGTTGTAGTTGACTGGGACGTCAAAAAGCAGTTCTGCTACACGGAGCTTCCCTAATTCCCCACAGTATCAGCTTCTATGTTACACTCACAACTCCTCAAGAGACGCACCTGGGACGTTGTGAAGCTTCTTGTCTACTAGTTTGGCAGCCATTGCTGTTCGTGCCTTAACTATAACTGTTATGGCTGTGCTTGGAGTAGCAAAGAACCTGTTATTAATGTTCCCTGAAAGACAAGAACTGATTGTTGATACGTAGTGGATAATTGTGGAGACGTTTGAATGCTACCTTAGGCAGACCCGTCTGTGCGCACCAGCCAGTTGGCTAGTCCCTTACAGTCTAGTCCACCCGACGGAATCCTTTCTGAGTTTAAGCCGCCGTAAGCCAACCACTATATCAATTGGGGGCAATACGGCACGGTGTTTGCTCGCGGTGACTCACGGGATTTGACTATAGATTAATATATAACATATCAATTTCAGCATAAGATAATATACCCCCGTTACAGTTGGCAAGCCTATGTCGGCACCTTCAACAAACACCATCTTTGTCTTGAGTTATTGTTCTCCCTTACAGCAGTCATGAGTAACAGGATTTCTATGGAGCTAAAAGACGTCAGGGCCACGGCAGAAACGCAGGCTAATCTTCAACAGCAACTATGGGAAATTAGTCAAACTCCCTGGAGATCCGGTATCCTTCCCAGTGCCAATCATCTGGCTCGGGCAAGAGCAAGTTTACCGTCATGTCTTGCGAATGAGGGAGTTGGGTTTGAAGATGCGAAGCAACATATCCTGAACGATATCGTCCCAGCTTTCAATGGAAGCAGCATAAGTCCCAATTACTATGGCTTTGTCACCGGAGGGGTAACACCTGCTGCCTTATTTGCAGATAACATTGTATCTGCGTACGATCAAAATGTCCAGGTTCATCTTGCCGACCACTCTATCGCCACGGATATTGAATCCAACGCTTTAGGTCTCCTTGTCGACCTTCTGCACCTGGAGCGAGCTGACTGGCATAACGGCATTTTCACCACCGGAGGGTCGGCGAGTAACATTCTCGGCTTAGCCTGTGGGAGGGAATATGTATTAAATGTCGCTGCACGCAAGGCAGGAATCCCAACCCAAAGCGTTGGAGAGCATGGTTTGTATGAAGTCATGCAGGCGTCCGGGTTGTCAGGAATTCAGGTTTTATCAACGCTACCGCATTCATCCCTAGTCAAGGCAGCTGGGATTCTAGGAATCGGTCGAGCAAATGTTAAAAATATCTGCCAAGAAAGCAATCCGCTCCTTTTTAATATGGCAAAGCTTGAGCTTGAACTAGCAAGGCCCGACAAGGCAAGTATTGTCGCAGTATCCTGCGGAGAAGTCAACACTGGACGTTTCGCGACGACCAGCATCGATGAGATGCGAGAACTGCGGAGATTGTGCGACAAGTATGGTGCCTGGTTACACGTTGACGGTGCGTTCGGGATTTTCAATCGCGTCCTAGATGATAGCACAGAGTTTGCTACCATCAAGAAAGGAGTTGAAGGCATAGAGCTGGCCGATTGTATTGCAGGCGACGGGCACAAATTCCTCAACGTACCGTATGATTGTGGCTTCTTCCTCTGTCGCCATCCTAATGAAGCTTTCAATGTGTTTCAGAATGCGAATGCGGCCTATCTAACAGGGAATAGCAACGACCCTCCCTCAATTCCCTCACCATTGAACATCGGTTTAGAGAATTCCAGGCGATTCAGGGCGCTCCCTGTCTACACTTCACTTGTCGCGTATGGCAGGACTGGGTATCAGTCTATGCTTCAGAAACAAATTCGATTGGCCAGGATGATTTCCGGATGGTTGTTTGATCAGTCGGAGTATAACGTTTTACCGGAGGCTAGTACCAAGGAGGAATTAATGGACCAAACATTCATGGTTGTCTTGCTTAGCGCGAAGCAGGATGAGTTGAATAAGATCCTCGCCTCCAAGATAAACGAGACATCTAAAATGTTCGTTTCTGGGACCTCCTGGCAAGGGCGACCGGCTTGTCGAATTGCCATCTCTAATTGGAGAGTTGATGAAGACAAAGATTTTGAACTTGTGGCAAATGTGCTAAAGAGCGTTGTTGAAGGAGGTACAACCAATTGAGCGTATGTGTGTATGTGTTTGGAAACCGAGGCGATTACAGATACATCAGTACAACTTATATAGAAAATTCCCAGATCAGCTGAACTAATGAAACAGTGTACTTTAATGTGAATATTTATTGGATATAGATGTTTCTTTGTTTCCAAACCAGCTTCAGACGCAGCATTACCGACGCCGGCCAGCACCGCCAGCATTATCTCTCTCGGCAAGGCTGACAACCTCGCCGATTCCAGCCTCCTCCTGTTCATCTTCGAGAGCCATGACTTCTTCTCTGCTATCCCACCACTTCTCTTCTGCAATGTTGAATGCATCCTTGCGCAGTTCCTTGATATTCTTCTCCGGCTCCAAGCCCTTTGTTTTAAACGTTTCAAGCAAAATCTTCTGCCACTCTTCAGAAGTACGGTTGAAGAAATCACGCAAGCTCTCAAAAGGTCGGGGAAGAGGCCTACTATCCTGTACAGATGGCTCTCCCTCTGGCTCCTCTACCTCGAGCTGCTCCATCTCTTGCGTCACGGATGGCACCGTTGTCTCTGTAGGTGCGGGGGAGGCAGCATCCAGTGACATTGCATCTTCCTCTTCATCTCCCTCCTCCTCGTCATCATCTTCGTCGTCGTCGTCCATTTCATCGTCGCTCTCTTCCTCTTCGTTAAGGAGGTTCCAGTTCTCTGGTTCGTTATAGAAGATCTCCTTGACACCGTCAAGTTTGACGAGATCGATAGAGTACATGTCATTAAATGTAAACTCTCGATCACCTTTCTCATAGGTACCACCGAATATGAAAAGAGTGTCATCCTGTACGGTAAGCTGTGCGTTGAACCGCATATGAGGCATTTCGAAGCGAACAATCGAGGGCTTCTCAGGCTTATCAGATTCCTCTTCAACTGGTGGAGTATTGAGTTCCATCTCATCGTCGTCGTCCTGACTCCGAATGCCTTTCTTCGCCTCCAAAGCCCTAAGGTTCTGTAGCAGCTCTTCCTCATCAGCTTTAGTCCGGTCTCGTGACTTAATCTGATTTGCCTGTTTTTTGCCCTGTGCCCTTGGGCGTCGGAGACTCAATGGGAAAAAGCGGTTCCGGTCGGTATTCCAGGCGAACAATGTATTAAAAAATTCACTGTCAATTCCCTCCTCACTGAGCTCCACATCATGGACACCACCGAACATGATGCCTCGACCCTTGTGATACGCCATAGTAGCACCTGCGCGGGGTGGATTCGGGGCATTTGCAGGCTTCTTTCTGCGTTCCCAACGGATTGCGGGGGTTGCAGATGCAGGAGCATCGGCGGCAGGTGGTGTGATCCGAAGAAGCCAGGTGTCCTGGTGAACCATAGGCTTCATAGTCATACGCTGAGCACCACCCTTCATGTGTTTTCCTCCTACACTAGTGGTGGCCTTCACGCGGGAATAACCACCTAGGAGGACTGCACCTGCTTCGTGAGGAAGGAAAGAGAAAGAAGAGCGAGGGTCAGGTTTCTGTGATGCAGGGGGCAGTATAGGATTATACCAAGTATACTTCGAGCAGTCGTAAATCCACAAGTCTTGGAGATATTTAGTTTGCTGCGAGGTGTCCTGGAAACCACCAAAGAGGATAATGTAGTTCTTGACTCAAGTCAGCTTCAAAAAAAACTCATTATCAGGAGGAAAACATAGTTTCTGCTAAGCGAACCTTGTAGTAAGTCATTCTATGGCCACTTCTGGCTGGAGGACCCTTGCCTTTGGTCTCAAGACGGGCCCATTCTTTCGTTGATGGGTCGAGATACCAGAAATCATTGTAATGATAGAAGGTACCTTGCTTTGGAGATGAGAACTCGCCTAAATGGTTTATAAAGTCAGTAAGGTGTTCAGAAACCAAGTAAGAATTCGGGTCCCATACCTCCAAAAAGATAGACGCCGCCAGTATTCCCTCCACGGCACCAAGCATGTCCACTCCGAGGGAGGGGAGTATTGGGACTAGTGACCTCTTTCCATTCGCCTTTGTCAATGTTGTACACAAAGAGATTGTTGAAAAAGGTAGCAAGAGTGCCATCAAAGTACTCTCCACCAAAGACCAACAATTCATTCCGATTTGAGGGGGATGCTAGCACAGTTGCGGAAGACCTAGGAGAAGGTGGTCCCGAAGCAATTTCGGTGACCTTGAGGAATTTAGCCTGCTCTTCAGCGTATTGCGCTAGGATAGCATCCAGATCTGCATCTTCTACATCGCTGTCTGCATCCCGTCCCTTCTTGCCCTTAGTTTTCTTTTCTTTCTGGGCAGCTTTCTTGTTCTGTTTCGCCGCAACACGTTCTTTGTGTTCGGCGGACTTCTTATTTTTCTTGCCCATGTTGTGAAATCGCTTAGTTGTCTGTTTAGAATGCCCCCTGTACGTATTTTAGAAGGCGACACTCTATATGTATATAGACCACCAACTTAACGGCGTTCTTAATGCGTGGGGTTGATAACATTCTATAGCGCGGGGTTCAGGAAAAAAAATTAATTCCCCTCGTTTGGTTACGCGTAAAACGAATACCATATCAAATCCACAATAACTATAGAGGTAAACCACTACAGGCACAATATGGATAACAATATGTCAAATCGACTTCCTTACATAGCTTACCAATAGTTACTTGGTTATGGACAAAACCAGTTGTTTTTGACTGTGAGTGGTGAATAGTGCATTGTAATCGCGATTGAGCAGCGATGGATAGTTGGGATCCATGAGATATATAATCTGGACGGACCGATAAGACCTGATATATTAAGCCCTACAATATGACTACATATCTCGTAAACTATAATCTATAAGGTAATACTACAACCGAAGGAATAAATACAGATTTGAAACTATACCAATGCCTGGCAGCTGGTGTCTTGTATAAATATAGGTAAATATCTCAGGCATCATAGTACTCATCTATGCTATGTATGGATGGTACGGGGCTATACTCAAAATACAAGGCAGACTCACCGCCCAGGTGATAACGCGCCGGGACGCGTCTCTTTGTCTTCTCCGTCTATGGAATTCAGTGACATTTAGACGAAGAATATCGCCAATGCCTTGCTGGAGAATAAGAGCAGAATCATGAAAGTGAAAATACGACCCTATGACTAGGCACAACTTGGAAGTTCATCTCAAATGGCTGTTGCAACAGGGCCCTTCGCTTTACCCCTCTTTATCGCTATCCGTACGCGACAGTCGCAATTCTATTCGAGAGAATCACACTCAAAATCGGCCGATTCCAGCACTGCATGCAACGGGTAACCAGGTTCCGGAAATTGCAATCGGGGACTCCCAGCCATTACAGAATAGCTCTGTTGACAATGCGGACAAAGGATTCGAGGTAGAATCGGACGAAGACATGGCACGATTGTTATTGGCTCCGCAATCTGCGAACAAACCTCGAATATTTAGTCGTCCTACAGATGCTGTTAATGGGTCACCCTCGAAACCTAATGGTCGTACACATGCTCAATCGCCAACGCGACAGCGGGAGGCACGGAAGAGTCCCGCAATAAAAGGTATGGTCATTGATTCGCTAAAGTCTTTTCGGACAACTAATGATTAACGGAAAGGTACTCAAGGCGATACGCTTTCGTCATTCGACAGTATTATCAAGACGACAGTGACGCCATCCCGGACGAAACATAAGTTTGACGTCGAATCTTCGGATATTGATACTATTGATTTGACTGGTGATTTGGATAAAACTACGACTTCATCAGGCACAGTAGATGAGCTTGGGGAACCGCACCGGCTATGGAACGAAGAAGCGCCCAATCGAAAAGACTCTACAGAGAAGCGAGGCAAGAAACGCAAAAGCGAGGAGTACATTTCAGATCTAGTATCTCCAAGAAAGAATGCACCCAAGGTGCGCTCACCTTTGCCCAACGATGAGACCACAGATGCTGCCCGGTCCGGTTTGACGCGCTCGACTAAAACCTACATTACATTTTCCCCGACAAGGAATTCCATTCGTGAAGCCTCGCGCTCTCATTCTAGCGTCTCGAACCAGATCATAGCTGATTCCGACGAAGACGGCGATGAAACTCTATTTGACGATTTGATGCGTGACAATGATGCGCCCGTCGTAGATAGCGATAAATCATTATACCCTGTTCTTCCTCAAGATGCATCTGGGGATAATAAAAAAAGAGGGAGGGTGGCAAAGAATGCAATGCAGCGTTCTCCACTGGCATCAGAAATGGATCCCAGTCCATCTGTTACCAATACGTCCCCTAGCAGGACATTCACGAACCCTGGTGATTCAGGTCTGACTTGTGCTCTCGGATCATCAGGGTCCCAGCCAAAGAGCAGCGATGTCACGAAGTTCTTAACTCTTTCCGCTGAGACTCTGGATCAACGGATCTCGGGTTTTGAGGATACTCTAAGGAAGAATTCAGAAATCGTTTTTGAGCAGGCTATGAAGGGTGAGCCGGCGCCTGGATTAATTGCTGAGAACAAGAGTATTACAGCTCGGATAGAAGCAATTAAATCCCTAAAAAACAAAAAGGCTGCCTATCACGCTTGTGAATCAACTAGAGATCAGCTGAAGAAAGCACTCATGCAAGTTATTTCTCAGGGTGGTAGCCCGAATACAATGCCGGAGGAGCTCGAACAAAGCCGAAAAGCCACATTGCAGCTAGAGCAGATCGAGTCTGATATACAGCGTCTGCTTGTACAAGCTGATCTTCTACCGGCCCCATTTTCTTCAAGTAAAGGACCATCACGGCAGAGCTCAGAGCGTTTGCAATCCCCCCCTCGATCAGTTAGAAACATTAACCCTAAGAAATCAGCCCACCCTCAGGATCCCGAAGCTATGGAGGCTGCATCTTCCAGAGTTCCCTCTGGGCTGAGTTCCCGTGTCTCTCAAGTTGACATACCAGCACGGACAACAAACCCATCTTTCAGAAGCGCCGGCTCTTGGCCTGAAACATTTGACTATGATGAGCCAATGATCAGTGATGATGACCATGCTTTTACTCGTACCATGGGATCTCCGCTTCCGGCCGAACAGTTTGACGAATTTGACTTGGACGCTAATGATGAGGAAATGCTTGAGGCCGCGGGGTTCCTTGATGATGGCTACTCAATTTCAACAGCGAGTAATAGCCTCCAGACACGCAAGGTGTTTGCTGAAACCTCTGGAAACGTTGCCCGCACTCCTATTACACAGAAGTCGCAGACCCACAATGGCATATGGCATCATCACCCGTGGTCCAAGGATGTTAAAAGCGTTTTAAAGGATCGTTTCCATCTTCGAGGCTTCCGCCTTAACCAACTCGAAGCCATCGACGCCACTCTGAGTGGAAAGGATACATTTGTTCTAATGCCGACAGGTGGAGGGAAGTCATTGTGTTACCAGCTGCCCTCTATCGTCAAAAGTGGAACTACCAGAGGAGTCACAATAGTCATTTCGCCATTGTTGAGTTTAATGCAAGATCAGGTGTATCATTTGCGCCAGCTCGAGATCAATGCGTATCTGTTGAACGGCGAGACGCAGAGGACAGAGCGACAATGGATAATGAGTACACTATCGAGTTCGGACGCAGAAGGTCAAATCGAGCTGTTATATATCACGCCCGAGATGGTTAACAAGAATCAAACCCTCATCCGTAACTTGGAAAGGCTAAATAACAGGCGCCGACTTGCACGCATTGTGATAGACGAAGCTCACTGTGTGAGTCAATGGGGACATGATTTCCGTCCTGATTATAAGGAACTTGGGGGGCTTAGGGCTCAGTTGCCCGGTGTTCCAATGATGGCCCTGACAGCTACTGCCACAGAGAATGTGAAGGTAGACGTCATCCACAACCTTAAAATGGACGGTTGCGATATCTTTACCCAGAGCTTTAACAGACCAAACTTGACATACGAAGTGAGGCAGAAGAAGAAGGGTAACGAGCTTCTGGCTAGTATAGCCGACACGATCAAATCATCTTATCACAACAAATCCGGCATTGTTTATTGCCTTTCGCGTGATACATGCCAGAAGGTCGCCAAGAGTCTTAGGGACGATTACCGCATTAAAGCTGAACATTATCATGCTGGTATGAAACCTGACGAGCGAGCGGAAGTTCAACAACGCTGGCAGGCTGGGAGGAGCCATGTCATAGTGGCGACGATCGCCTTCGGTATGGGTATTGATAAACCGGACGTACGCTTCGTGATCCACCACAGCCTCCCCAAGAGTTTAGAAGGCTATTATCAAGAAACTGGCCGAGCTGGCCGAGACGGAAAGCGTTCAGGTTGCTATATGTATTACTGTTACAGGGACACGATGACCATCAATCGCATGATTGACAGCAGCGATGGTAGTAAGCAACAGAAGAACCGACAGCGACAAATGCTACGCAATGTTGTGCAGTTCTGTGAAAACAAAAGCGACTGTCGAAGAGTCCAAATTCTTGCATATTTCAATGAGTATTTTCGTCGAGAGGACTGCAATGCTTCCTGTGATAATTGCAAGTCAGACTCTGTTTTCGAGCTCCGTGACTTTTCTCAATACGCGGCCTCTGTAATCAAGGTTGTTCGACACTTCGAGGAGTCAAAAGAGAATGTAACATTGTCGTACTGCGTGAACATTTTCCGAGGAAGCGCAAAAAAATTTAGGTCTCCTCAGCACAGACAGGCCCCGGGGTACGGAGAAGGTTCTTCGCTAGAAATGGGAGAGGCGGAAAGACTTTTTTATCACCTTCTTAGCGAGGGAGCCCTATTTGAAGAAAATGTGGTCAACGGCAGTAGATTTGCTGTGCAGTACATCAAGCTTGGACGTCGTGCCACTGATTTTGAGAGTGGTCGGCGTCAATTACAGCTTCATGTTAGAGTTTCACCAAACAAAAAAGCTCAACCCTCTCGGAGTGAATCTCGCAAAGATTACCATCCGCAATCCACAAACGTGTCATCGCCTGTTCAAGCGGCGAACCAACGTCGCTTAGCCCGCTATCAATACGAAGCAGGCTCCGATAGTGATAGAGACAGTGATGGCTTCGAGAGAATTCGGATAGCTGGCAAGCCGAGGCGCGAGAAACCGTTTACTCCAGGCCCGCCGATTACTCAGGATTCCAGGTTTGACCGGCTTGACCCTCTCCATAAAGCTGTAGCGGAGGATTTCATGGTTTATGCTAAGAATTACTGCCAGGATGTGAGGCTTCCTCTTTATCTTGCTGAATTAGAAACACATTGCTCACTTATCTTAACAGCTTGTTCTTAAGAAAGGCCTTCGCAATCAGCCATTCACTGACGGGGTGCTGCGGGAGATGGTCATAGCTTTCCCCAAAGGTGAGTAACACCACCAGCCATTAGTAATAGGGCGCAATACTGATGTCAGAGCAGACCTGTCCGAGCTTTCCAGAATTCCCGGCATAGATAAGGACAAGGTTACTCGGTATGGTGCTCAGATACTCAAGCTCGTACGAGATACGCAACGCCGCTATGCAGAATTGAAAAAGGATCGTGATGACGCCGACGGTGTTGTTCCAGACCCCAACCATCACAATGTCATCAATCTCACTAGCGACAGCGAAGAATATGATGACGGTGATATTCTGGATGATGCTTCAGACCTTGATATGGATAAAAATGTCATCTCTAGTCGGTACTTCACCACCGACCCAATACCAGAAGATGACTCGTCTGATGGCCCTGGGGGAGCTAGCAGCTCCAAACCTCGCAAGCGTCAAGCTACCAGGCGAACTCGTCGAAAGAGCGCTGGCGAATCTAAATCCCGCAACAAAACCCCAAGACCCAGAAAGAAAACCGCCAACCGCGCTGACAGCCGCCCTCCCCGGAAAGGCTCAAAAGCCAAAGAACCCATGTCCCGGATAGGAATGATGCCTATCTAGCACCTTTATATATCGGGTTTCATGTTCTTTACGATGATTTTATTGATATATTGAAGAGCGTGTGAGCATAATTTCACTAATGGTCTGCTGCATCAGGTGCATCCACCGGCGTTGAATTGGAATTCTGACTACCCTCTTTGTATCATGAGGACTTGACGAAGCGATTATATGAATATTTACTCGTACTAAGCGCATGCGACTGTATTCTTCTCTTGACTTATTGCAACTATAACCGTATATAGCCTTAAATTGTATGTGTCCCACAAAGACATTGGTTGGTAATTCCTAGGGTTTGGTAAAAGCTGGGCCGTGTATCAAAAGCAACTACTGAGAGTAGCCTTTCAATCGTTCAACGAACGCCCGAAATCAATTAACCTCAAGCGTCTAGCGTCGCGTGTGTGGAATTGAGCTACTTTAGCTCTTACAAGAAATCGGGAGGCGGCAGACTCTCGGGGAAGGTCAATGTAGGAGGTACCTGCATCGAGTAACGCGGCGAGCAGCTCATGCATCTCAGCAGCCGCTTTCTGGCGTCGGTTTGACCGGGTCTCTTCTTGATTGTCTCCTTGAGATGTTTGACCCCTGACGAGTTCATCTATTCGACGCTGGCCGCTATCATGGCTCGCTGCCGAAACTTTCAGCTTTTTTGGCTTACCATGACTTGTATAGCCCCTCTCCAACGTTTCATCAGAAACACTCATTGCATCTCCCACAGTCGGACCACCGAGATCTTCTGCAGCGAGCATGGGTGCCAATGTTTCATCAATAAAATTGTGGAGAGAGACATTTAGCTCTTCCGTCGCCTTGTCAAGTTCCTCCTTCTTTTCTTGCTGTTGATCGACAAGATCATGCGCTAGTTGGGACGGCGACTTCTGCTCCTTCTTGGCTTGTTGTTCACGGATACGAGCTATCCGTTTTTGCAGTCCATCATTGATGGCTTGGGCATCACGCAGATTTGCCTCTTCAACTTTTAAGCGCTTGCGGTTGGACGAAAGCTTATCTGCCGTCATCGTGACAGATAACTTGCTCTCCTTGACCAACCGAGATATCTCCTCGACCGCAAGCAAGGATGGCAGAGGAGACCCAGAGCTTGGGAGCTTTGTTTCCGACCCTAGGAGAGAGTCATATGCCTTCTTGGCTCTTCTAACTTGCGAAACGCGAGACCAAGGGTCCGCGCCGATCTTAGAAAGATCAACCGCGTTGACCGAGCGGAGCTGTTGCGCGCATCAGTATCGCGTCTCTGTTTCTATATTTGCACGCTCTTCGGCTTGCATACCTTGCGCAAATCATCTTCTTGGCGTTTAACTTGGTCCTGAAGATTTTTTAGGGTCTCATCCAGCCTCTTATTATACGCCTGGAGAGTGGCCGAGCTGATTTGTTGATCATAGCTCTCTTCGGCCTTCTCCCGTTTCACTGCGAAACGCTGGATCTTATCAACGGTCTCCTGAGGTACATCCATAGGGATAGATTGACGGTGCAGCACGATATAGATGAAACACGGGTTGGGTGTCGAATATTGGAGAATATCGACACCAGCAAGGCCACAGGGTCCAGGTCAATGCCTAATTTTTTTTTTTTTTCACTTTTTGAATCACAGCAAAGTGAAAGGAGATATCTTGGTATTCATGTATTGCTTGGGCTTGTTTTCTATGCCCTCCCGCACGTGATGATGACGGATGGGTAGACTATGCCCAAGGCAGGCTAGCGTGATCCCGTGCCACCGTTTCGCCTCAATCACACCTTAACCTCATCTCTTCACCGCGACATCGCGACTTCCTCCCCTCCATCCATCATCGTCACCTTCTCCCTTTTGCTTGGCATCTTCATCTTTGTCGCAACGGTGGAGTCGACTGCCTGTCTTTGTTACTTGGCTCTTATCCGCTGTTTTAGCGTTCGTTCAAGCCCCTTTTAGCCCGGCGCGTGGCAGACTCTCTGTTCTTACACTCTGCGACGATCATAAACGTTGTGTTTTCTTTGGAGGAAAAGGGATAGTAAAGATTTAGCAACTTGACTTTGCTCTCATATTCTCCCTCTGCCCACGCTGTCAGCCTGTCAGCTCCCATTCACGTTCGGACCCTGAATCCTCACCACCACTACTATCACCGTCTACATCTCTCCGTTTTATCGTGCCCGATCCGATCATCTCTTCTCTTCTCTTTTTCCCAGCACAGCTTTGCACACGCGAAGCTTTCTGCTCAAATCCAAGGCCCGTGATTCCCAGCATTTTCACTCTTCCACCGGCTATCCTTCCTCAACATCACTTTTTTTCATCACTGTGCACGATTACCACCAGCATTCCTAGTCATTTCAAGCACCAGATTCCCTCTCCCGATCGCCAGCACCAGCAAGTCTTATTGGGAACTCCTGGTGTACATAGTCGATCAAATAAAGCAGAAAGAAAAAAAAAGAAAAGGCTATTTTGATACTTCGACTTCCTGCGTAAGTGAAGCAAGACTGCACAGTTGAGAAGCAATATGTCTGCCTCTCCATCAGCTTTGCAATCCACCAAGCGTCCCTTGGAGGACCCTTCCTCGCCATCAGGTCCCAATGATCAACCGGAGGCCAAGCGTCCTGCTTTGGACAAAGTAGTAAAAGGCGATGAGTCCGAGGCGTATGCGGAAGTGAAGACTGAGTCATCAGGTGTGCCCAGTGCCAATGCCGATGGCCAAGGCGATACGGTTGTGCCTGATGCTCCTAATGCGAAGGGCACTCACCCTGAGACCCAGCCTATCCAGTCCACTGCGTCCCACGCCGAAACTGGCGCTCAATCCGAACAGCATCGTCCCCAAGACGAGTCAAGCTGGATCCATATTCGGGCTGTAATCTCTAGCCAGGAGGCTGCTACCGTTATTGGTAAGGGTGGTGAGAATGTATCACAGATCCGTCGACTCTCCGGCGCCAAGTGCACTGTCAGCGATTACTCTCGTGGAGCAGTGGAACGTATCTTGACTGTCAGTGGTCCACAGGACGCTGTTGCTAAGGTTGGTTATATGCATCCTTGTTACTTAGCTGAAGTTTAACTGGACTTGCTGACCGGGCTTTAGGCTTTTGGTTTGATCATTCGTACCTTAAACAATGAACCCCTTGATGCTCCCTCCACTGCCCAATCCAAGACATACCCCTTGCGTTTGTTGATCCCCCATATCCTCATTGGTTCCATCATTGGCAAGGGCGGTGGTCGTATTCGTGAGATCCAAGAGGCCTCAGGCGCTCGTCTCAACGCTTCAGATGCTTGTCTTCCATTGTCTACTGAGCGGTCCCTTGTAATTTTGGGTGTTGCAGATGCAGTTCACATTGCCACCTACTACGTTGCTGTGACGCTGGTTGAACAGCTCACGGAACGATTTGGCGGACCGGCAGCTTCTGCCTATGCCACTCGTAGTGGCGGGCCTGCTGGAGCTGTGCCTGGTGGTATGCAGGTTGTCCCTTATGTCCCTCAGCCCGCTGGCGGTCAATATGGTCACCCTGATACCTTCAAGCGCCACCACCCACACCCCAACCGGGCTGCTGCGGGTGCTTACGGTGTTCCTTATCTTCATGGACAGCCCGCTCCCGCCCCTGTAGCTCAGCCTGCCATGCACTATGGTGGTGCACCTCAACCGTATGCTGGCGCGGGCCCTCACCAGCCTGCCCCTTATGGTGCCCCTCAGGCTGCTCCCGCACGCGGTGGTCCGACTCCGGTCGCCCCTGTTGGCGGAGCTATGCCCGGTCAACCACTGACTCAGCAGATCTATATCCCCAACGACATGGTCGGTGCTATTATCGGCAAGGGTGGTGCTAAGATCAACGAGATCCGTCACCTTAGTGGCAGTGTGATCAAGATCAATGAGCCACAGGAGAACAGCAACGAACGTCTGGTGACTATTACAGGCACCCAAGAGTGTAACCAGATGGCTTTGTATATGCTTTACTCCCGACTTGGTTAGTTTTGACTCCCGGATTATTTTCCAGTATCTCGTTACTAATTTGCAATACAGAAAGCGAAAAGCACCGTATCTAAGCGGAGGAATGAGTCTACGAGCTTGCTTAATCTGTTCTATTTCTTCCAGGAGCATATGGGGTTTCCTTTTTCCTTTCTTCTTTTTCCCTTCGCTTTCTTTTTGCGTTGTTCAAAAGTCGTCTGTTCATGGTGACTTTAATGATTCGTTTCGGGTATATGCCTTCCAACTTGTAATTTATGGAAAAGCGCTGTCCGTCAACATTCGTTGTACACATTATCACCAATCTAACGTAATTCAATTCACTCTCCCTCCATTCACAACCACTTCAAACCTTCCTAAAAGAAACATGCTTCATCCCCAAAGGTGGTATAGAAGGAATCGCCTTCTCCCTAATAGGCGCAATCGTCCTCTTAAACTCCTCCGTCTCCCTGGCAGCCTTATGCACATCCACCGACTCCCACCCCACAGCCAAAAGATGCAACATCGCCTGTCCAGACGGACTCTTCTCATGGTCCAATGTACCAGGCCTCTCCACCTGCGCCATAGCCCACGACTTCGGCCTTCCACCTTTAGGCAACTCCGTCAGCGCAGCCCGGAACTCAATCAGATCGGCATTGAGCTTCTTTTGCTCGTCGGGCGTCAGGGAGCTGGGAAATGTGAGCGCGACCAGCTCCGTGACGGGGTTGGTGGTTAGGGACTCGGTTTCGGTGATTGATGGCGTGAGTGTCGTGAAGATGACGCTCACTTGTGTGTTGGGCTCGAGGTATGGAGCTAGGAGTTGTGGTTGGATTCCTTCATGCGCGTCGGCCCAGTCTGCGGTATCTGTTTAGTAACTTGTTTCGTTTTTATTTATTTTGGGTAGGATTGTCTGCTTTTTTTTTTTTTTTTTTTCTTTTGCGAAAAGGAGAGGGAAAGGTCGTGGGAACTTACTAACTATCCATACTATGATATTCTCGTCCTCTATTGTTCTGCCCCATGCTGAACTTTTATATCCGCTTTGGTGCTTGGCTGTTTGGAAGAGTTGGAGTAGTGCTTGGCCTTCTTCGTTTGAGGGATCCTCGGGTTTTACTGAAGGCTTGAGCTTGAAGTGAATAAATTCGCTGACTAGGAGAGCCATCTTAGTTGGCGGGGTTCTTGGAGCTTTGTATAATATGATAATATGGGGGTTTGCAATTCTAAGGCCGAACTAGTTCAACTTGGTGGGGCCAAAAACTATATATCTCGAAGGACTAGTGAAGATTGACCAGAAGAAAAGTAGAAAAGGTAGAAGAAAGCAAGAAGAAAACAATTGTTTTGATGAAATCATGTCACCTTGCGGGCGATGATGTCAGTGCCAGCGCCTCAGTCATCAAGGCCACAGTTCCCCACCCTAGTTAGATCAAATATCAATCGTGATAGTATGAAGTTATTATAAAGATATCACATCATTAATGAAACATCAGTAGCGGGTCAATATCCAGACCGATATGCCAATCAAACAGCGACTAATGCTATGTACAGAGAAAATAGCCAATTGCTCCCCACGCCCATATCCCGCTATTTTTAGGATTGTTCATATCATGAATCAAAGACAAAGCAGAATTCAAACAAGCACCTCTACAGGTCATCAACACTCCTAACCTTCGACTTCTTCTCACCAATTGCCTTCTTCAGGTTTCCAACAATATGCTGCCTGCGTTGAACCTTTGCCTTCCATTGCGCACTCTCTTCTTTGCTGACAAGATCGCCAACGCCTTCCACGCTTCGGAGGCGGCTAGCGCGCGCTGACCCATTGATGCTAGAGCGGAAGCGAGCAGTGGAGTCTGGTGTGTGGTATGCACTGAGGGGACCATCAAGAGACCCCCGCGACCCTGGCGTTGTAGGGAGTCTTCCCACAGACTTTTTAGGAGTTGTGAATGGCGACCCCTCACGGCTTGCTGGCGACGCAGTCGTGTCAATACCCAGCTTCTTCAGCTGCACTTCCAGAAAATCAACATCGCTGCTTTTGCTTTCAGCCATGTTCATCATAGTGGAGATGGTTGATGTGACAGCTTCGACTGTCGGTCGTTTAACGGATTGGCGTGAGGCACTGTCAGAGCGAGGGGCCTCGGCAATCTTCGCTCGTAGGAGAGAAACGGCGGACTCCAGATCTGCTAGCCTTGCCTGGATCTCGGTAGACGCTGTCCGAAGGTCCTGCTGAAGATTTGCTTGTTCTGACGACAGTGGCGCGGAAACGATTGCAGCGGAGTCTGTGTGGGCATCCAGTGTCTTCCGAATACTAGCACATTGGCCTCGCAGTGTGAGTATATCTTTGCTCAATAGTTCTCGACAGTCCTCGAGCTTCTTCTCCACCCCTTGGACTCGTTGCTTCTCAAGCTCGCCGGCAAGCATGACTAGGGCATCATCAAGCTGCTCGATTTCAGAAAGACGTAGCTTCTCGTCCAGAAGATCTGCTGGGTGATCACCTTGCAACACGTTAACCCAGTCTGAACTACTGGACGATTGTTGGTACATAAGAAAAGCGGACAAGGACCGTGCGTTGATGCCTAGTGTATCTACCATAGAGTTGATATCGCGGTATAGCCTTTCAATTTGGCCGGGGATACCTGGCTTACTCGTCTGGCCAGTGTAGTCTTGATGAGGGAGGAAAGGGTCGAGGGTAGGCACGGGTTCTACGGGCCGAGCAAGGTCGGCACGAAGCCTTTCGTCTTCGTCATCGTCGGAGAGTGACAGTGTCTCTTCCTGTTGTCGCTGCGCTTGGAGTTTCTGTTGAGCTTGTGCTTCCTCAATAGCCTGTGCCGAAGGCTGTCGGAATTGATTTTCACGTTTCGCTAAATCACTGAGAGACGCCTTACGTGCAGCAAGGGTGCTGCCTGGAGCTTGCGGCTTGAACACACTCTTTGGGGCGCCATTTCGTACTGGACTAGGCGACCTAGGGAACTCGCGATTTGCCGAGGGCGCTGGAGGTAAGAAAGGTTTCCGAACCTCTCCAAATAATTGCCGTGGCGGTTGATTCGAAGTCTGACTAGGTTGGGATACTCTCGTGAATAACCCACCAGCTGAAGTCTTGCCAGAAAATCCAGTCCCAAACGAACTTTCTGGCGATATCTCCGGAGTTTCCGCCTCAGATTCTTCTTCCTGTTCCTCAGCTTCATCTTCAACATCCTCACCACTATCAGCAAAATCAGACTCTTCTGCCTCATCGCTCAATTCCTTCTCGGATTCATCTGCTTCTGCTTCTGCTTCTGAGTCATCAGGGACAGGGCCCGGGACATCTGCAGGAGTGGGCGACGGCTTTGCTGCAGTGAAATCAGGAGGAAGTGGTGCCTCTTCGGGTTTAGCTTCCTCGGGGGCCTCTTTCTTGGACTTCAAAGTAAAGTCAGGGGGCAGCGGCGGCTCTCCCCCGTCATCCTGCAAAGTGGACTTCGGTTGTGTAGTGAAGTCAGGAGGAAGAGGTGCGTCATCGATGGAGCTCTTAGAAACGTTGGAGGATGCGGAAGTGTCACCAGGTCCATAGGAGGCCTTGCTTGTTGGGTCGGGAGGCAGTGGTGGCTCTTCTGAAGCACCAGGAGTCTTCTGATCATCAGCAAGCTCTTCCTTTTTCAAGGGTGGGCTGGCAACGGGTGTTTTGTCTGATGGTGGAGACAGAGGGGTCGATGCTTGCTTATCAGAATTGCCGAGGATTGAGAAGGGAGATTTGTTCGTCTGGGCTCCGCCAAAGGGCTGCTGAGGTTGGCTGGGAGTACCGAAGAGCGACGAAGGTGCAGGTGTGTTAAATTTGGCCGGCGCTCCAAATAACGAGGGCGCTGGCTGCTTGGCCTCCGGTTTCTCCTGCTGGGTGGTGGTAGGCTCATCTTCCATATCGTCCATGGATTCTGTGGGCGGGCTGGCTTTAGTAGGCGTGGAAACCATCTCATCGAAAGATCCAAATAGCCCGCCGGAAGGTTTCTCCGGTTTGGGGCCATCATTGACAGCAGTTCCATCGCCCTTAAACGAGGGCTCTAATTTGAACCCACCAGCGGGGAGACCGAACGGGTTCTTTGCCGGTTCTGTTTTCTGGGCACCAAAAGCCGTGCTTGTATCAGCCTGGCTACCAAACACCGATGGTCCGGAAGGCTTCGAGAAAGGGCTTTCTCCAGCCTTCTTCCCGAAGGGCGATTCCCCCGGTGGCTTGGATGCTGCAAGCCCAGCAAAACCTCCCGTACTAGCAAATGAACCGAAGCCGCCTCCAGAAGTAGTAGCACCCGGAGATCCGAGCGAGAAGGAAGTAAATCCCGTCCCAGGTGTTGCTGAAGGTTGTCCAAAGGCCGATGTGCCCATAGAGCCGAAACTGGATTTACCAAACTGGGCGGACCCACGGTTTATTGCACTCGGAGTGCCGAAGGAAGGTCCCGCCTGGGATCCTATCTGGGACGGGGCTCCAAATGAAGGTGTCCCAAATGTAGGTTGTGAGCGGCTTCCTAATGCCGAAGGGCTACCAAATGCCGGTGCGGCAGAGGGTTTTCCAAATGGAGAAGGTGCCCCCAGTGCAGATGGACTGCCGAAAGCGGATTGTCCAAACGCAGGCGGCTTGGGCGGCTGCGGTTGCGCCTGCTGCTGGGGCTGGGGCTGGGGCTGGGCTACGGAGGCCAAGCCATGATATGGAAGTTTCTGACGAATAGACTCGGAGTATATGAACCACCATGAGCAGAGGATACCTTCATTGTTGAGAAGCAAGAGGTTCGGCAAGGGAGTTGAGCTTTCAGAGATATCTTCGCCTGCTATGGGAGAGACAACGATTTCTGTGCTGCTCAGGTCGATTCCCAAACCAATCACTGAAGTTTCCTCACCGGAGTCTGTAAGGGGAGGGGAAGCCCTTTTTGTGTCGTCATTAAGTTCGGTCGTGGCGAACAAATTTATCGTGGCCTTGGCTGCATCATCACTTGCCAATGGTTGCTCCGACCTCGTCACAAGGCCAACATCGGTCGACGCGGTAGAAGAGACAATTAGAACGTCCTTCAAATGTGGCTTATAGTCTCTGAGACGTGCAATAAACTGGTATGCCGGGGCGCGTTTGACTCCAAAAGGTATGCACAATTCAGGCAGCTTTTGGACAAGAAACGGTGCCTGTTTTCTTCTTGTGATAACGTAATAAGAAGATGACGGCGTTTGACCGGATTCATCCTCGGCATCATTCGGCGTATACACCATCAAAAATACGTCGTTCTCTAACCAAGCAATAGAGGACACTGAATTCAGTTAGCTAATTGCGAACCTATGACATGTGGCATTGAGCGTTACCATGGCAGTTTCCCTCTAGATCAGAAGGGCGTGGTACCAAGTCTTTCTGGGTACCATCTGGGGTCATTTGGTAACCCGTTCCATCAGCAAGTCCAGCAACGAGTTGCTTTCCCTTGTTACTCCAGCAAACGGAGCTCACCCCAGTCTTCAAGACATTGCCATTCGGCCCCGACACTAGGTTTCCCGCCTTAAGGTTGGCAACCAAGAGCTCACCATTAGTCGTGACGAGTGCGACAAGCGACGAATGCGCCCCATCAGATGGAGGCGCAGGATTCGGAGCAAGGGATCGAAAAGTGGCGCCATTCGTTGGTATAGATAAGGCCGGCTGCGCATTGCCCGTTGACAGACTCGTAGTCTCGTAGACCAGAAGCTGAGAGCTGTTCTCTGTGGCTAGTACTAGGGCGTCATCGCCTGAAGTGAAGGCCACATGCGTGGGACGTGCGGGAAGGGGTATCGTTGCTTGTGGTTGGAAGGGTTTTGTTTTGGCCTTGTCTTCGGTGGCAGCGGAAATAGCTTTCCTAACTGCGTCGGATGAGGAAATTGCCAATGAGTCCGGGCCTGCACCAACTATGATGCCTTTCGTGGGTGCGACAGCTAGAAGTGAGGATGATGGAGCCGGAAGGGCATCGTCAGGCCAAGCCGTAGGAAGTAATCGGACGTTGCTGTCGCTCGAGACACCTTTGAATCCGACTTCCTGTATTCAGAGTTAGTTCGTCTGCGGCGAATCTAGAACAATGACGGGCATAGGAGCGCGACGGACCTCAGCATAGACATCTGGGAGCTCAGGTCCTAGTTCCGCTGGAATACTGCCGCCAGCGGGGTTGGACGCCCCGAAGCTGAAAGCCATTCTTAGTCTAT